TTGTTTAGGTCTAGGCCCTGGGATGGCAGAGTGACTGGGAACCAAGGCTGGCTGGGAGTGTTGGCAAGAATGTGCATTGTGATCTCAGGAGAACGTATGTGTGTATGTGTGTGTATGTCAGCAAGTGGGGAAGGAAGCATAACAACAGCTGGTTGTGTTTCTTGGTTTAAACGTGATGACCACGAGAACGTGGTCCTTCTTTCCATTTCTCCTGGCACCAAAATAGAGCCTCCAAACAACTATGTGTATTCTCAGCTGTTTTAATGGTAAGAAAATTCAAGTTAACTGCCGCAGGGTTTTCATTACAATAGGTTTTTTAGAAGTGCCAGTTAATTTCATTGAATATTTAAATGATTGTAATAGAAAGCAAGTTTATTTTTCTTATAATCTGACTGGTAGTTTTCAAATAAAGCTACTAGAATCTTTCCATTGTTTCAGATGCCAAAACTGGACCGAGCGATTTTAGTAAAATAAATACATCCTTTCTGAATTGTCAAAAGGCGAATTTCTCAAATTTCTCAAATATTTATGTGGGCAAGTACTCTGTCTTGTTTTCCATTTGAAAGACATGATTCATTGTCACTGGTGAGAAGCAGGGATCCAGACTGGGCTCCGGCTCCAAGTCGGAGGTGAGTTAGGGCTGCAGGGGAGCAGAGCTGAGTCAGCTATTGCGCCCAGCGTGACCTGGTGTGAAATGCATACCCAGCACCCCTGGTGAGCCTCTTCTTTCCAGGGCGCTCAGAGGTGCTGCCTGTCTCCCCGGAGCCCCACAGATGGTGATGGTGTAGCCCTGGGATGGGTCTCTGAGCTCTTCCCTTTGGGATGGGTCCCGTTCCCATGGCGATGATTTTTCAATGCTATGTTGGTCAGAATTGCTACAGCCTCTGTTTCTTAACCACCTAGCCTGGACTTCTTGCTTGAGAGATTGGCTACACTGCAGTTCCCAGGGCATTTAAGTGAAGTTAGAAATGGACAGGTGATAAATGGGTTATTTAAAATGCCTTTTAAAATCTTGAGCTATCTGCTTGGAATAAAGTTTCTGGATAATTTCCTATGTTACCAGAGAAATTTAAGCCAGTATTTTCTGGAGTGATAAGGGAGGGAAAATAGGGAGCATTAATTTTTAGACTAATTTACTTTTGTTTTTTTGGGGGGCGGGGGCGGGCACAGTATTCCCTGAAATAATAACTACCGTAAGAGTTTAAAATGACATCTTTCATCCTCCAGAATATTCTGGTTCCATTTCCGAAAGTCCTTCTGCTTAGCACTGAGGAGAGGCTTTCACCCGTAGGCAGGCATCAGCAGGGAGCAGGGTGCGGTGGGACAGTGAAGCTAACTTCCTGATGATTGGCCCAGTGAGGAAGCAGACCCCGAAGGAAAATCCCTGCCTTTATGTGTGTGTTTCCTGCATCCGTGTAAATGGAATGTCACAGTGCCAGCCTGCTGGCGTGTTTTCTTGATTGATGCTGGAATTGTGAGGCTCTCTAATGGGTCACATTTGGAAGGATAGCTCTTTCTCGCACACATCACTGAGCACTGGGGCAACGTACAGGGTTGGGACACGGTGAGGTGCTCCTAGCACAGGTGTGTGAGCGTCAGAAGCCCCCTTGCTGCTGGGCCCTACCCCACAGCCTGTGATTAGCGAGGCTGGGCAGGGCCTGGACACTAAGGTGCCAGTGGGAGACCTCATGGTACAGATAGCATGGCTTTGGTGGAAGGAGAGGACGGGGTGTGTAGGACAGCTCGATAGGAATCTGGCTCTTGGGGCTAGAGTAAGAAGTGAGTTTCACGGCAAGTTTACAGAGAGAGCTCGAGTTATCACCCCTTTGGACTGAAGGGCCACCCTGCCAGCATTCCACGTACACAGGCTCAGTATCATTATGACGAGATGTTGACTTGCTGTTTGGAAAACAACACTGAGCTCTTGTCCAATGTTTACATTCCTTGAAAAATATGTAAACGTGAGGAGCTTGCTAAGCAGAGTTCACTTTACTTGTTATTCCTGAGAAAGGCCTTCGTGATCTTTGGCAGTGTTGGTAGTTAGGTGGAGAGCCCCAGCTCACCGGCTGTTCACTGGCCTATGTGCGATATCATCGGGGGTCATGGAGGCAGGGTGGCATCGCCTCCCACCCCTGGCAACTCAGGATGCTGCCTTCCTTCCTGAGCTCACGTGCGATCCTCCTGTTCAGACATTTAAGTCCAAAGATGTGTAGTGTCTCTAGATACCACCTTCAGTATGACTGTATTCACAGTCAGTTAGCACAGTACTTGACCATGGGAAGGTTCACACACTACAGATCCTGTCCTGTGATGTAATGCCTACGTGTCATTGGTCCTTCCTGACTGCTAAGTAGTCCCAGAAGTGCCCATACGCTGGCTGTCGCCCTGTCTCCCATCTGTTCGTTCTCAGCATAGATTGTGTCACTCCCTGTTCTGTCCTCTGTCCTCACCTGTCTGCCCCGTGCTCCCTGCTCTGACCATATGGCTCCATTTCATTCCCAGAGCACCTGGCCCTGACTGGCCCAGGCCTGTGTGAGCTGCTCCTCCTTCTGGAACCTTTTCTGTGGTTCTCCACATGGGTGGTTCCTTGCCATGTCTGCCTGCAGTCTTCTTTGCTGAGGCTGGCCCTGGCCTCCATCGGATGTGGTCCGCTCTGCCTCTGTGCCGTGTGGCACTTCCCCTCTTGTAGCTGCCACTTCTCTGTTTATTGTATCTACCCTCCCCTCTGCTCATGAGCTCAGTATGGGCAGCTCCCCTGATGAACTCAGGATCTCAGATGTCCATTGGATGAATCGAGAATTTCAGTTTGTGCACTCGCACTTGACCTGGAGCAGTGAGGAGGTGGTTCTGAACCAGGTGTGGGGAAGCCTGGCTGGTGAGCATAGTAGCTGACTGACTGACATTCAGAAAAATGCACGTATCTCAGTATATGCTCACGGCACCACCTGTTTACTTCCAAACCATTGATGTTTCTGAGAAATGATACTGCTTACTCATCTCTTACTCTGAGTTCCAAAAATTAAGATTTGTGAGTTGTTTTCTGTCCTTAGCTAAAGCCAGCAGCCCAGCCTCAAACTCCCTAAGCAGTCCTTCCAACCGCCGGTCCACCCCAGTGAGGACGTGGTCATCTTGCCAGGGTTACTGAGCCTCGCCTGATGTTCATAGAAATCTCGTGATTCAGGAGCTGGGCTAGGGGAGGCTGCCTGTGAAAGGAGCAGGATGTAGGAGTCACAGACGGCTAACCACTTGGTTTTCTGCCCTGGTCCAGGCCCTTGGCAAAGCAAGGCAGGGCTGACTACCCTTTGTGGGGACCTCTTCTGTGCATGGAGGCCGGAATGTAAATATCAGGACATTTCAGAATAAAGCTCATGAGAAATCTTGAAGCATTGGTGACCGTGGCTTTGACTAGTAGACACGCAGCAGAAAGCTGGTGCCCCTCTTAGATCCCAGCCACCCAGAGGGAAGTTTTTAACTCTCCCTGTTAACATCCCTACCCTCCCACATTTGCTCAGGGGCTCTCTCTCTGTCTCTCTCACACCTTAACTTGCTTCCACATTAGAGTCAGAAGAGAATGTTTAGAAAGCTGCCAAGTTTTCAAGAAGAATCGATTGTTCTCTCGATTTATGATCATGAGTGAAGTGCTCCCTCTGGGGAGGAGGGAGAGCTAGCTGCCTCACTGCCCTCCCCCTTCTCTCTCTACATCAGCATCGTGCCTGATCATGACCATCGCCGCGGCCTTGCTGAAGGTAGAGAAAGTAGGGGTGCTTCCCACACATGAACGTTGAGCTCTGGGTGTTTCCATTTCAGACGACCCTTGAGAAAGCCAAGGTCTAAGGCACGTAGACACAAGGCTTAGGGGTATTCATTCTGTTATAAGTAACTTTTGAGATCTTAAAATTGCAAATGGTACATTTTCAGGGAAGAATGAGTGGCAGGGAAGGAAATTAGGCCACAAGTAGAGGAGAGGGATCACGGTGCTCTAAGCAGGAGGTCAGAAGTTGCTTCTGATCTGTACACTTCCAGGTTCACTGGTGGAAGGTCAAGGGAGGGAGGGAGGGAGGGAGGGAGTGAGGCTCACACAGCAGGACAGTGGAAGGACTCATTGTGAGGCGAGGAGAGTGTGGGAAGCTTAGCATCCCCTTGAGCCCTTTGTCCATGCTGAGCTGGCTGGCCTGCTGACTCCTCAGCAGGTCAGAATAACAGCTTACATCATGTAAATCGTTTGTTTCACTTAGTATATGCCCAGCTTCCAAGTGGCCTCTTCTCAGAGCAGTTCCAAGTGGAGGCTTGAGTCACAGAGTCCAGGATCGTGCATTGATTCTTGTCCCAGAGACGGAACTTGCTGCATGGCTCTCCTGTGCCGACGGCCCAGATTCACAGCCAGTGGAACCCGAGGGAGTGTGCTTAGCAAGCGGCCTCCCTCTCTAACCTGTGACGGTGGCACTGTGAGACCACTCCAGTTGGCCGCCTTTCCAGATGCGGGGAGAAGCCAAAAACATACACAAGTCCTTTTTAAAGACACACAGGCCTGTGAGTGGGGTTGGGCAGCGTCCTCAGCCGGTGCTGTGGGGTCCTCTGCAGCCTCTCGTTATCAGACTTGTGAGAGCTCTGGACAGGCCATCGGGTAGGTGGCACACATGCTGCTGGCACACGGCATTCTGCATTCTGTTTGCTTTGAACTGCGCTAACCAGGCAGGCGTAGCCTTGCAGAAATCAGTCTTGAAGGCAAAAGAACCTTTACATGTTACACCATCTTCCTGAGATGGGTCATCAGACACCCAGGCCACTCTTTTGGGAACAATGTCTCGTTTGCTGTCTTCATCAGACATAAGGTCCCACACCATGCTTTTGTGACCACAGAAATTGCCTGAGTCCTCCTGGCCAATGCCTTGGAAGTTGGGGGAGCGATTTGCCAGCCAGCCCCCCAGGTCTTTCTTGTGTATTTGAGCGGGCCCTTTGGAGAGTGTGGGCTTGTCTGAACCTCCCATTCTCTCTTTCAGAGGACTACCCCAACGGCACCTGGCTGGGGGACGAGAACAACCCCGAGATGCGCGTGCGCTGTGCCATCATTCCCTCCGACATGCTGCACATCAGCACCAACTGCCGCACAGCTGAGAAGATGGCGCTGACGCTGCTGGACTACCTCTTCCACCGGGAAGTGCAGGCCGTCTCCAACCTGTCGGGCCAGGGGAAGCATGGCAAGAAGCAGCTCGACCCCCTCACCATCTATGGGATCCGGTGTAAGTGCGGGCTTTCCGTGCTGAGCCCACGTCCCTTAGCCTGTGGTCGCAGGAAAGACCTGGCCGGAGGGTGGGCCCTGCCAGGGAGCGTTTCAGGACAAGTCAGGACTTCCACTGGTGCGTTAAAGAGGATGTCGGTGTCAGAACTAGTCACAGAGCAAGGAGAGGGATTTCTGGATTAAGCATTTCCTGTAGTAAGTGCTGCCTGGTGCCCTGCCCATGGGAAAGACACTGAAAAGTGTGGGCCTTGCAGACCCTGAGAATCATTTTGAGTGGCTCCCTGAGAACCTGTATGAGTCACCAGCTGACATTAGTCCCTCAGGTGGGGATAAAGCAGTTTCCGGATGAATAGAGGGTCACAGGAGTCAGCAGACTTTTACACACAGTCATTGTGTTTGGCTTTGCAAGCATAGGGTCTGTGTTGTAACCGCTCAACTCTGAAAGCAGCCGTAGACCAAACATGAACAAATAGGCGTGGCTGCGTTCCAATAAAACGGAACTTTCAAAAGCAGGCAGGGGTCGGCCCACCGTCTGCCAACCCATGCTTTAAAGCATGATTCCTAATGCAGTGGGTACCACTCAGATCTGTGGGCACGGCATAGAATGTGCATGCAACCTCAGGACACGTGGGTTTGCTCGGTGACAGGATACCGTGTGATGGTGTGTGACAGTGTGGACCCATGGTGTGAAGTGCTATTGGGATGTATACAGAGGGTGCCAAAAAATGTATACACATTTTAAGAAAGGAAAACTGTATTAAAACTGTAATAATCTATACTGATAACAAAAGATGAATACAAGTCACATTTAACTTCTGCAGCTACAAGAGGTGCTCAAAGTGGTTACCATCAGCGTCCAGACATTTCTAATTACGGCGAACTACTGCTTGAGCAATGTTGACCAGTGTCCACTTGTATACATTTTTTTGGCACCCCCGGTAGATGAACAAGAAATGATTCCCAATGCACAGGATGCAGTCAGGTATATGTAAATGGTCACAGCCCCGAGAGCCGGTCATGGGGAGTTTGACCACGCTGCATTGGCTGGAGGTGGAGGCCCTGACAGAGAGCAGGGTTTGTGGAGAGGCTGGATCAGGCCCAGGGCTGAGGGGATGATGGCGTCTGGTGTTGGGCCACTGTTCTCATAGGGTTACTGGCAGGGGCTGCCTCTGATGTGGAGAGGTGCCTGGGATACAGGCTGTGACACAAGCTGTGAGGCAGAGGCAGGAAGAGTGTTCTGCTGCAGGGGTGGGGAAGCTGTGCCCGTGGTGCTCAGAGCAGAAGCACATGGCTGGAGGCAGGTGGGCACGCTGTGCCCAGGAGTCTGCATGGCGCGGTGGGAGGCGCTGCGCTAACAGAATGGTCAAGTCCTGTTTCTGTTTCCCTGCACCTGGAGAGTCGGCCGCCTGCTGAGCTCTCCCTCCTCTGGGAAAGGTTGCGAATCGCTGCCTTCTCAGTGTTAAAGTTCAGGTGGAATTTTGAAAGGCTAAAAGTATTTGTTGACCATTTTTTCTTTTGGCCTGCTTTAATTTACATTGCTGATTATTACTAAAAAAAAAAAAAAAACAACCCAGAACAAATGGATCAAACTCCTGAGCACTGAGCTTGAGTAGTGGCGCACGTAGGCATTGGCTACTTTGTCACACCTGCCCCAGTCTGCTGTTCGTGCAGACTGAGTGACACGGACACCTCGGTAGTCCTCAGCCGGCCTTTGTCTCCCTGTGTCTCCATCATCACACGGCCATCTTCTCCCTGGGTTTCTCTGTGTCTCTTCTCTCCTTATAAGGACACCCGTCATATTGGATTTAGAGCTCAGTTTACTCAAGTATGACCTCATTTAACGTAATTAATCACATCTGCAAAGACCCTATTTCCAAGGGAGGTCACATTCTGAGGTCCTGGGAAGGACATGAATTTCGGGAGACATTTCAGCATTGTACACAGGACCTGGGTTCTTTAGTAATCAAATACTGTGTCTCACACCACTGCTTTGGGGAGCCCACCACGTGTCTTTGGGGATCCTAAGGCACCTATTTGGAAAGTTGGGAGGAAGCTTTGGTCTGTGTGGGTTGGTGGTGAGAAGGGGCCTGTGAGATGCTGAATAGTGGGGGCCTTGCTCACAGGTCACCTTGGAGAGAGGCCTGACGGCTTGAGGAGTGGTGTCACTCCGTTGTGCTTATCTTCAGTCAGGGGATCACCGCTGCTTGGGGAGAAGGGTCTAACCTGGTCCTAAGGCTGGGACTCTCTGGACAAGCACGGTGCATGGGGTGCTGGCCCCACCAGTGTGAGAGAGCACACGGGCTAGTTTCCCCTCATTCGGAGGGCTGAAGATGTCTGTTGTTTTTCTAGGCCAGCCACTATCAAGTCAGGACTGTAATTTTAAGAAATAAATTGCTGGCACTCAGTTTTCTGCTTCTCTTTCTCCTTGAACTTGAGATCACATTAGCAGTGATAGTGTTTTTCATTCCTTTGTGACTGATAAGCCCCATGCCACCCACCAAGGATGCGAGATTATGCTCTCTGTTCACTTTATTTCCTCTGTTCCTTTTTCCCACAGTGTGTCTCAGCCCCTCTGTGGGGCTCATTATTTGAGAGCTGGGAATCTGGTTTTGTGATTTGAACCACTGGCATCAACCATGAACGTTCTGGAAAGTGGGAAGGCAGTTAACAGTGACGGACTCCTTTCAGATCTTTAGGTGCTGGCCAAACTGCTTGCCAGGAAAGACAGGGACAGGCTCGCAGGGGTCGTCTTTCTGGGGTAGCCCAGGGGTTTTGCCTGCTCAACAGCTCTTCCACAAAGACGCTTGAGAGGGCTAAGTGGCTCACCCTTCAGATAAGACGGCCCTCCAGCTCTCCAGAGACCTCGTGCACTGGGCAGCGTACCGGAAGCAGCCTTGAAGTTGCACTGTCTCCTACACAGGGCAGCCAGGGTGATGGCCTAACTGAGGGGTGTCAGTGCGAGCAGAGGCTACAGTGTGAGATCTGATGTCATCTTCTTCCTGGTCTCCCGAGTGTCCCCCAGTGGGGCTCCTGGGTGCTGTTGAGCAGCAGAGTGAGGTGCTCCTGGGGTTTATGCTGCGACCATTTCTTCTTCACTTGGGTGGGCTCTGGGAGGCCTGAATTTTAAAGCCGGTTCTCACTCCTAACTGATAATTCGACTTGGAACTGAAGTGAGGGTAATGACATTCTTATTTCATGATGTTTTCTTATGAGGATATAATAACTTAAAGAGATAAAATGCTTCAGCAAATGTGAAATACCAGTTAAATGCCAATGAAGAACACTTTTGGAAAAGTCAGAGCTGCAGTGGCAGGTAGCACGTGCCATCAGGAGGCTCCACCCTCTGCCATCAGCGCTTCTCCCTGGAGCTGTCCCGTGGATGCCTGATGATGGGGTTTCTGAGGGCAGAGCTGACTCCTCTCCTGTCCCATCGGTCTGATCCCCCCCCCCCCCGGGGCTCTCTCAGTGGGGGAACATTTGTGATTCATTAGTTAGTTTTTCTTGGCAGTCATCAGGGTGGCATTTGCCATCCAGTTGGAGTCTTGAGTCTCTCTGTTGGAAGGAATTATGTAATATGTCTTAAGAGAATTTAAAAATGGATAATGTATAACTACATGCATGTATATATTTTTCTTCAAAGAGTGTAAGCCAAGTTTTGAACTGGCAAATTGGTTTTTTACAAAGTTGAATTTACACGTTAATGTTTTTGCTTGTTTTTTATATTTATATACCCGTGTGTGTCTTGTATATATTCTTTAAGTTCTTAAACTTCTCTATCATCTCATTAATCCCTAGGGGCATTTGGAAGATATTTTTTTCCTTGAGGGTGGAAGTATGAGGAGAACAGGAGGATAGTTTGTAGAATGTTTCTCTTTATTTTTTTTTTTAAACTTTTTTTTTATAAGATTTTATTGGGGAATTGGGGAAGGGGAACAGACAGGTAGACAAATAGCTGTTTTGTTCTTCAGTCTAGTTGTGGAGGACGTTGCTTCACTGGCCCATGTTGTATGATCATTGTGCTCTTCCCAGATGAGGCAATCGGTCACCGGCCATTGGTCGGCCGCTCACCGCGGCTCCCGGTAGCTCACACTGGCTACTAGCCGCTCACGCTGGCTGCCAGCCACTCAAGTAGCTCACGGCAGCCCACTGCAGCCCTGCTGCAGCCTACACCGTCGCTGGCGACTCACAGCAGCCCAGCTCCAGGTTGAGCTGTTGTTCATCATCTTAGCTGTAGAGGGCGAGCGTCACTGGCCCTCAATGTGGGATCCGAACCGCAGCCCTGCGGCTCAGAGCTGGCGTTCCCAAGCCAGCTCTTAACCAGCTGAGCCACTCGGCCGGCCCAGAATGTTTCTCTTTATTGAAGCATGTCCCTGATGAGGTGTTTTGATCCTGTGTGATTGCTGTTTCTTTTCTTGTTTTGGAGACCACAGTTGTATTTGGGCTACTCTGCAACTATAGGCAGTCGTTGGGTTCTCCTGTAACTATATAACTGTAGTTCTGATAGTAGTGTTCTCTTGTAACTATAGTCTGTGATTGAGTTCTCTTGTAACTATGTAACTGTAGTTTAATGGTTGGGTTCTCCTGTAATTATAGTCAGTGAGTTATATTGTAACTACAGTCTCCTGTAACTATACAACTACTGTTAATAATCAGGTTCTCCTGTAACTACAGCCAGTAGTTGGGTTCTCTTGTCACAAAAGTTGGTCACTAGCCCAGAACTTTGTGAAGCCACCCCCTACACCTAAAGCCATACCCTGCCTGGCATGTAGTGATGATTCAGTAAATATTGATTCATGATTCTGTGATTATTTTCGAGAGGACCTGAAAATCAGGAAGTAAAGAGTTGCCACTTCATTTATGTATTCCCTTTAATGCATGCGAATTCAAAGTGCTCCTGAAGCTACCTTATTAGGTTTTTGTTCTTTCTGATCCTGTAAATCCTACCTCTCCTTAACCCAATTTCTTTTTTATCTAGATTACAGAAATTTCGGCTGTCATTATATTTAGAGTCAAAAATGTCTTACGCATATGCTCATAGAAAAAAAATCTAGAAATGTCTTTCCAAGACAAAAGGAACTTTTGATACTTAATATAGTACTTAAGAAAACAAACACTTCCTTTGTTTTGATTATTTGTAGTATTTTGGTCTTGATAGGAACAGATTTTAGGAATTGGACATCAAGTTAATTCTCAGTAAATGGTCCAAACTGAGTGCTCTTAGTAGTCAAAACAGGAAGTTTTTCAGCTTAATCTTTTTATTATTTGATTTTTGAATTTCATCCATTTGTTTTTTCACTAATCAGTGAAGTTTCGTGAGCCAGCTAGACAGGAGGTCACCCTGCCGAGGAGTATTTCTAGTGGTTCCCACGTTCATGACCATTGCTTTCTGTTGATTCAGCACAAAGAAGAGGTGGTGTGGTCTAGCAAGGTGGGTGGGGCTGGCAGTGAGGGGTCTTATCTGCCACCCACTCCTCAATGGCCTCCCTGACCCCCAGCTTCCTCATTGTGGATAAGGGGGTGGGATCTCTGGATGCCATTCAGTCATGTATTGAGAGCGCTCTGTAATGCAAGTGGTTAACAGATGTGGGCGCCAGCAGGATGCTCTGCTGAGCGGGAGAGAAGCTACTGGAGTACTGCGAGATGGCATGCACCTGCCTCTGTGGCCAGCACTCGCGTGGAGGTAATGCCTCTCCACCTGGGTGCGGGGGATCTAGGGCATAAAAATCACCTCTGCCCTTAGGGAGTTTCCATTCTGATCCAGGAGGCACATGGAGAGGCACCAAGAGTTACGTAAGCCAGCCTCACACTCAAGTAGCAAATGGGAGCAATGGGAGAAGCTGCTTAAGATGAATCATAATCACCATTTAGTCAATAAATGTTGAAGCATTTACTATAGGCCTGGATATTCTGGGTTCTTAGCATACACGGGTGAACAAAACAAAGATCCCTGTGTCTGCGAGGGAAACAGAGTAAACGCAATAAATATATAAATTCTCTAAAATTTTAGAGACCCAGGCTCGGGGTGGAGGTGGGAGGGGCCTTGGGATCAAATGGACTAGGTAAGGGCAGGATTATTGAGGTCTTCATTGAGCCAAGACTTGAACGAAGGGAGCGAGACAGCCAGGCAGATGTGAATGAACAGTGGAATATGAGCTGGAGTTTGGAAGAGCAGTTCTGATAAAATTGTTGGGCCCTTGATTTTATTCTTGACGTCTAGGACAGTAGGTGCTTTCTGTGACGTTAGAGTGCAGAGCAGAGTTTGAGCGTGCAGCGCCTGGGAAGCGCGTGTGAGCCCTCAGCACCGAGCTTGTTGCCTTATTTCTATCTGGTGTGCCTGGACCCAGTCACAGTTATTTAAAAGCCAAATAAACGAAAAGAATTTGTAACATAACCGGCATGCCTGCCGGGGGAGACTCTCAGCCCCAATCACATTTTTGTGTCTAAGTTGCTCCCAAGCAGCCAGGGTTCAAGACCAAGGCCTTATTTCATGGGGCTTTTGTCTGGGATGTGTTCTTCCAGGTCACCTCTTCTATAAATTTGGCATCACGGAATCGGACTGGTACCGAATCAAACAGAGCATCGACTCCAAATGCCGGACAGCCTGGCGGCGGAAACAGCGAGGTCAGAGCCTGGCCGTCAAGAGCTTCTCTCGGAGAACACCGTCCTCGTCGTCGTACAGTGCGTCAGGTACGCTTTGGAGAGCATCCCGGAGCAGTGTGCATTGCGGGGCTCGGTGGGGCCGGGGGAGCGGTCCGCTGTGGCCTCTGGCCTGCAGCATCTACAGCTACCACTCGGGATCCAGTGATCGGAGCCTTAACTCGGTGCACACACAGGCAATGTCAGTTATCTCGGGAACCCTGCTCATGTGGCAGGTGGGGAGCCTCGGCCAGACCCACTCAGGGCACCCCGTGGCAGTAGAAGAGGGCATGTAGACCAGGGCCACCGCACACGGGTGTCACGTGGGCACTGAGGCAGAAGGACCAGCTCCGTCAGGACCATGGCAGGTGCTGTGCCCAGCAGTTCCTTCACTTCCCCGCTCTGCCTAGTTATTTACCGCACTGTCGTCATTGTTAGTATGGTGACCACAGAGGAAGGGCCAGGGTTGAGCACGCTTTACTACTGTTTCGAGTTCAGGGCCTGAGTAAGACTTACCTGCAAGATAACGGGAAAACATTCTCTTCGCCTTTCCTTGCAGGCATTGTAAGGAAAATTTTCACGAGAAATGGCAATATGACTTTAATAGGCTTTTTACCCAAGACATCCCAAAATATTTGAACAAAAACATTTTTGTAAAAACTCCCACAGTGGCTCCCTGGGTAGCGGCTTGGAATCTGAGCCCTGATTGGGGTTGGGGGTCAGGATTCAGGGGCAGCAGTGGGTGGGGTCGGCCGGAACTCCTGTTCTAGAAACACTGCTTTGACCGACCAGGTTACCTGGAGTCCTCACGGGGTTTTGTTCTCTCTGAACCAGACCTCAGGAAGCGGTTTCCTCTCAGTTGTTTTGGTAGTTACCAGATACTTCGCCTTAACTTGCCAGCGATTCCTGAAGATGGGAGGTGGCCAGCCCATGTGGGCCACACAAGTCGGGCCCCAAGCAGTGCTTGGTGAATGGCCTGTGCTGAGAATCTCTTAGTGAGGGATCAAGGCCTTTGTCTTACAGTTAGGAGTCCTGTCTTGAGAACTTAGAGAAGTTGCAGTCATGGGGCATGCTGAAGTGGCTTCTTAAAGAATTAGGTTGGCTTTGTGGGCCTGAGACATTAGGTGTAGTAGGTTCAGGGAGGTAAGTTTCTGCCTGGCTGGGGTTTTGTCCTCTTTATCCTGGAGTCTACATGGCCTAGCCCAGGGCTGGACACAAGGTTAGCACTCAGTGTGTGTTCTAAATGCACAATGAGGAATCATCTAATCCAGGGGTTGGCAAACTTTTGAGACGGAAGAGCCACCAAGGTTCAGCAAACTGCGGCTCGCGAGCCACAGGCTCTGAAGTAAAATTGAAAATGAAAGTAAAACTATCATAGTTTCATTTATAAAATTTTTAAAGGATATTATTCACATAATGGTGATTATTGTAAAAATATATTTATGGCTCTCGAATAAATTTTGAATTGTTCTGAGGGACTGGATTGGCTCTTCCAGGGGTCGGCAAACTTTTGAGATAGAAAGTACCCAAAGAGCCGCATGTGGCTCGCGAGCCGCAGTTTGCCGACCCCTGATCTAATCTGAGAAATTTCCCTATGGGAGGGATTGCTGTGGACATGGCGTCCCCCTCTCTGGAGGTGCTTCTCCACGCTGATGTGCAGGCGGGTCCTTTGGAATCGTGTTACATTCAGATCCTGAGCCAGCATGTCTGGGCACAGCCTAAAACTCTGCATTTCTAACAAGTGCCTGTGTGGTACCTCTAGCTGGTCTAGACCACACGTTGAGTGGCGAGATGTTGAGTTCCTTAAGTCGTGATTGGGTTGTTGGGCTGCCAACCTTTAAATGCTTCTGTCCTTGTGACTAGAGACTCAAGTGGTCTTTACTTCCCTCTCAGGTCTGATTTCTGTTATGTGGCTGATGATTTTATAATTTATTTTTACACTTTATTGTTTGTTTCTTTTCCAGTTATTAGTGTTTCTTTAAATTGGATGATGATAATTCAGTTTCATGATGGTTGCATTGTTTTCATTTACTTCGTTTCTTTCTTTATAAACATGTCAGCGTTTCCTCTAAGATGCTGTGGGTTTGCATGACTCTTGGGTGCCGCTGGCCTCTTGTGGGGGGTGAACAGCTGCTGTGCGAGCATGTCTGTAGTGCCTGTGTCCCCTGGCAGGCTCAGCTCTGGGACCATGAGCTCAGTGTCTCAGGATGTGTCTGTTGGAATAGCTTCTGTCTGAGAAACCCCATCAGCTGGCTGACCCCAGGTGGCTTTGGAAGAACGGCAGAATCCGGCAGTCTGAGTGACGAGCCGTGTGCTCAGGTGCGTGCCGCACTTGTGCCCAGGTGCAGGGCTGTCCTTGTTTTCCTGCGTAGTCAGCTGTCTTCCAGCTCACAGGAGATGGATATGTTGTACACACGAGAGCACTGCTGCCTTGACCTCGGTCTTTGTGCCAGGTGTTTGGAGGAGGAGCAAACCCAGCCAATGGATGGGGAAGGAGGAGGGTGGCATTCAAGACGGGGATTTAAAAAAAAAAACCACGAGAGGGAGATGAGCGTAGTTATGTTCCCTTGGCTGTAGGTGTTTATTTGTCTAGAGATGATGAAGAATGAGTTTCCGAGTTATTATATTTAGTCTCATGCTCCTATTAATAAACCCTGGCAAGTGCTGCCTTCCTGTATAGTTTGCTAGAGACCGGAGGCTTCCCTGTCCAAGGGCTGCCTCCTCGCAAGCGCTGGAATCAAACGAGCTTTGACAGAAACACAGAATGTATTCTCCTTTTATCAAACTTTGTAATTTTACAATTACAATTGCTTTATAAAATCTGGTGATTTGTTTTTTATCTTAATAGTCTTACTTGGCTAAAATTAGGTAAAGCAAAATAGATGGTTAGTTAAAGGGACTTCTGGGATTTTTGTCATTGTTCTATTTGCACACTCTGCCTAACAAATCTGTTATTTAAGGCTATTCTGGTGACAGAAATAATCCAGTAAATGTAATTAAGCCAGGATTCCGTTAATTTGGTAGCAGTTCTAGTTGGGGGTGTCTTTGTTTACTTTTGAATTATTAGCAGACAAAAAAGGAACTTCCAAATAAATGCTATAAATGAGATTTTTAGCAAAGGTTAGTACTACCAGTTTGAACACAAACCATAAAACCACCAGTTTCAAGGGATTAAAAAATTTTTTTTATTGAAACACTTGTATTGTGCTCTCTTATCTGGCAGCACTGTATGAACTTTATAGGTGTTTGAGTTTAAGGTGGCTACATTTTATTGTTTAAAATGCAATTCACTGTTGTTTCTCACAGGTCTCACTGGTGAGTTGAAGACCTTAGGTGGGCATCTATTTAGTGCCCAATATTTTAGAGTCACAGAGAGCCAGCTCTTGATAGCCCCACTGCATGCAAATCTGTGTGTGCAGATGTTTATCCTCTGGGTGCAGAGAAGAGTCAGGCTGGGGAGGGGAGGAGGCCCGCTGGGTACCCACCCTTTGTGTTTCACTCTCTTCTGGTGGGTGCTGTCCCTCAGCCTCCTCTCTGGTCACTTGCTGTAGATCTTGGTCTCTTCTTGATCACAAGTCACTAATGTACATTTTTGCCCTGGAGTTGGATATCAGTATAAATTACAAAATGTGGATTTTAATTAGCCTTCATCTATAATTATAAAGAGCTAAGTTTAAACGGTAAATTCAGTAATTTGTATCTTAGGTTTGGAAACCACTTACATCATACCCTTAAGTCATATTTCCTACAGATTTTTTAGGACCCTAGGGACTGTCATTCTTCTTGGTTATATTTTTTGAAACCAGCAAAATCAGTTGATTTTTTAAATTAACATTGGAGCAGAAATTATCTGAGAATCTATTTAGTTATATAGGCCTTATTAATTATTATAGCAGAGTGGATCTTAAATGTTTTGGTACCCACTTCAAGAAGTTTGAAAGTGTGTTTTTCCTTGCATGTTTTTAAGGTGACGTTTTAAAATGTTGACACCTAAAATTTTTCATTATACTTTGAAATAATTTAAAAGGATGTAATTTCTGGAATATTGCTGTATATCACTTTTAAAAATGTATGCAGTAGAATCTATAACATGTCAGTTTGATGCCCACCATTAAATTTTAAAAATTCATGAAAAGTTTTCCTTGGGTAATCACACATTTTACGTCTTTTCTTCTTACATCCATATTACTATTCCCCTTCTCTCAACAGAATTTCATTCTAATGTAATAATGTTTTTATGTTTTAAAGTTTTTTATTGATAAATGCAACATAATTCTCTACAGCAATAATATGTGAAAATTAACAAGTTTTTTTCTGAGCTCTTAGTGTTCTAAGTGTTTACAAAAATTCTTCTGATTCAGATATCATTATAATTAAAATTAATACACATCAAAACAAATGTATCTCATTTTGGATTAAACATAGAAAGTCAAATTTAATTGGAAGTTTACCTTTAAATGAGTGGGCAGAGCTTTTTTCTGTAGTTAGTTTAATTATCTAAGGTCACATGTTACTTACTGCTATTCTAAAACAGTTTAATATCAGTTTATTCCTATTTTTCATTTTGTTGATACATCCCGAGGAAATTCATTTAAATAAGTAGATGAGAATCATCTGTGTTGGTGAATAGCCAGCCAATTGTTTAGATTCCTTCTATCTACAGGTCAGAAATCTGCCTTATCTAATGCTTATTACTAGTGAGCTCAACAAATGCCGTACTCTCCATTGGGACACGTTAACTCAGGTCCTCGAATGAAGAATGTCCTTTCCTCTTCTGTGGAGTCTGGGGGCGGCGAAGAGAAGGCAGCCCCGAGGTGTGCACGCACGGCTCATCTGCCGGCTGCTGCTGAGCACCATCTGTTTCCCCACAGAGAGCTTGATGAGCACGCCACCACCCGCCAATGAGATGCCCCAGCCCCAGCCGCAGGCCCTCCACTATGCCCTGGCCAATGCCCAGCAGGTCCAGATCCACCAGATCGGAGAGGACGGACAGGTCCAAGTAGTATGTACCCTTCTGCCAGAATGAATTGGAGGGAGGGCGTGGAGGGGAGGGGAGGGAGCTCCGGGGATTGAGGGCTGGGGGGGGGGGCCGTAAGACCAGCTCTCTCTGGGTTTCTGGATCATGTGGCTAGCTCGGGATGAGGGACGAGTGAGTGCCATGTTCAAGTAAAAGTAGTTCGGGGTGGGAGCTCTTACATTTCATAATGAGGGTGGGTACCGAGGGATAGCGTCATTGTCATGGGCCCTTCGTGGCCCCCCTGCTGTGCTGCACCTGGTGGTCACTGTCAGCTCTAAGGGACCCTGCTGCTGCCCGTCCTCCTGGGAGGCGTCATAGCTGTATCATAAATATTTTCTCATTTCAGAAACACGGGCACCCTTTTACAGGGGGGAGAAAAAGGGAGTTTCTTTCTGGGGTCAGTGGAAAAAGCTGGTGGCCTTAGTTACAGCATAGCATTTCCTTTGGATTGTGGGTCATGCACTGAGCTTGCCTGGACAGTTAGCGTGCGGGGAGCCTGCACAGCCTTGTCATCCTGCCTCTAAGTGGTGCTGGCCCAGGTGGAAATTCCCCCACACCCTTCACAGATCCTGTGGCCGAGGTGTCGGGGGCAGAAACTTCACTAGGGAACAGGACATTTTCAGCGTGCCCCTGGGGTCCTGCTGATGTTTGAGTCACACCCAGCCTCTTTGTGGTACACCTGCATTGTGGGGGCTTTCTCCTGGAACCCTGATTCTCATCTCAAGGTAGCTTCGGTTTGATGTAACACTCAGCACACTGCCTGGAAAGGGGTGGGCTTCCAGAAAGTACTGATGAGGACTGTTAAATGGGGTTTTTCTTCTTCCAAAGGAGATGAAGCAGTTACAAATAGTAAATTCTTTGTTTAATTGACAGTAACAAAGGCAATTACTCTTATCTTATTAGTAAGAAAGTTCTGTGAAAGAATTCCAGAATAGATAACTTGCATACAGGGTTCACATAGACATAGTAAAATGAAAGCAATAGAAAATTCTACAGTAGTTCACTTGAAGGTCCATTTTCATTAAGATAGAATGTTAAATAAGACCATGGGTATTCATTTCATTGAGCAAAGTTAAGGTTTAGAGGAATTAATTGTCTGCCTGTATCTATAAACATAAATGCATTGTAGTTGGGTGCTTTGGGTTTTTTTCTGGGGGGTGCAGGGAACCACATTTACTAGTGTTTACTCTAGCTGTTTAAGTAGTCATGTAAGTGTTTCTTTGATTTAAAAAAAAAATTGCCTGACCTGTTTTCAGTGTAGATGCACAACTCCCCTCCCCCAACCTCACAGCCCTGTGTACCCCACCGGCTCTCACAGACCCTGCCTGGCAGTTCCACGGGGTTTCAGGTCCCTCTGAGTTGATAGTATGATTTTTTTTTTAATTCTGATATTTTGGAAAACCTGTTTTCCTTTTCTATATGTCCTTCACATTCTGAAATTTGCCTGTTTAGTAACATTTAAAAATTTAACAGATTTTTCCTAGGCCCCATTGCTCCTTTAAGGTTTACTGCAAAATGTTCTGTAGGTGTTACTTACTAAATGTTTAATTTCCAGAGGCTGTTAAATAGCTTATCCCATGTACATATTGTCTTTTCTTGAATTGTGAGCAGATACTCAAGAACAAGTTTCAGAAAACGTTTCTTGTTTCTCCTGGTTTCGATTTTCTTCTGATGCTTCTTGTTGTCTTCTCTCTCTGCGGATCCCACAGGGTCACCTCCACATCGCCCAGGTGCCTCAGGGGGAACAGGTGCAGATCACGCAGGACAGCGAGGTGAGTCGCGGCTGCCAGTCCTACCCAAAGCCCGCTCTGTTTGCACTCTGATCTTGGTCAAATGAGGTGGACAAGTGGGAGGCCCCGGACAACACGGATATCCAGCATTGACTCCTGACTCTCGTTTCCTTGGGCACAAACTCGAGGCCCTGCCTGTCCTCCTGCCCTTGCTGTAATGCTGGTTTATCTGCACAACCCGTCTGGTTTTCTTGGTAAATACTGGCTGTGTCGAGGTTTTTGCTCTGGCTAGAGCTGCCCTCGGAACACCCCTTTTCTCCCTACCCATCCTGCTTCCCGTCTTTCCACCTGAGATGCAGACCTAGCTCCCAGCACAGCTCCAGCCCTGCTCTCCCACCTGGGGAGCTCCCCAGCCTGCTGGAGTGGGAAGAGCAGGAGGTGAGGCTCTGCCCCTGTGACTGACCGCACGCGTTCTCACCTCCGGGAGCCTCAGCCCCCGTCTCTGCACTGTGGGACCAGTGCCTGTTTGTGGGGAGGCTGGGAATCTGGTGAGACAGCATGCGCACATCCTGTGAGCTTTCAGCTCAGCTTTTCCTGGCTCTCCACACACTTGCCGCTTCTAGGATTTCCTCAGCTGCCTTAAGTTCATGAGATCCAGGCTTCTTATCACGGTGTCAGTGCTTTGGCATTCCCTTTTCATTAATTCTAATCCATGATAAGGACAGAATGCAGGGAGTCCTCCCAGCTGTACAAGCGCTGCTCCTTGTGCGTATCAGCTACTGTAGGTGGTCGGTGTGTGAAGGTCAGTTTGACCATCTGAATTGTTGGAAGATGAGGCCAGCCCGTCATGTTGCTGATGTTCTGTGAGTTCCTCAGGTGGGACCTTCTCTTTCAAGCTTGCCTGTGCAGGACATGGGTGGTTGGTAGCCATCTGTTGCAGGGACACTGTTGACTGTTTCCTGTAGCACAGGGCAGCATCAGCAGACTCAGTGCCCTTGACTTACTCTGACCTCGTCCCGTGGATGCTGAGCAGTGCGCATGTGCTCTGCAGACCAAGCGTAGTGTGGAACAGCGTACCCCTTGCAGTGTGGGCCGGGAGCTGAGGAACATACTTGTTTCCAGGCTGTAAAGATAGTACCGGCTTTGTGCCTGACCTACACTGTGGCATGTTGTTACACGGGTGTTGGGTTTCCTCCACACCAATTCCGAAAGCAGCTAGAGTCCTGAATCGTCAAAGAGCCTTTCAGGGGACTCTCTCGAGGGAAGCGTTGGGAAGCGTTTGACGAGTTAAATGGTGCCTGATGGCTTTTCAGAGCTGCTTTGTGGACATTTCTGCTCTTATTCTAGCAGCAACCTAGGAAGTAGATAAGACACTAGTGCCCTTTTGACTTTTCAGTGCCCAGAACCCAGGGGGCCGAGGTGGAGGTGGCCATAATTTGCTCACTGACTCTCATGTGAGACGTTTGCTGAGCTCCCGTTCTGTGCAGGCTGCTGTGCTGTCTGTTGCTGCTGTGGTGAAAATGTGAGTTAGAGGGTCCTGACAGTGTACAGGAGATGATTGTGCCAGGATGGCCGGGAGTGACATGCACTCCCTGGTGCAGAGAACACGAGACTGGTGGGAGAGGGGATCGGAATGCTTTCTGAAGGAGTTGCTTTCATCTGGACCCCACGGGTTTATCAGTGGGCCCTGCATGCAAAGGGAAGAGATGAGCAGAGAAGAGGATGAGTTTACCTGACTGAGTGGATCCCTATGCGTGGAAAAATAAATGCCTGGTAAAATGGGGGGACTGATTCATTCATAGGAATAATTAGTTCACTAATCAGCATGTGCCAAACAAGTGACTGGGAGAAAGCACGCTGCGGTGGCTGAAGCATCAGTCCGGGGAGGGAGAGCAGCAGACAGTGAACCTGAAGGTGGTCCTGGAAGCCTTGACTGGGAAAGTCAAGCAGTTGCACGGTGATGAGAGAGGAATCTGTTGGCGCGTCCTAGCACGGGTTGTGTGGGAGATGTGAAGAGTGGTGCAGGAGACCTGCATGCTAACTGGGATGTCTTGCTGAGGGGCAGGGAGGCTTCATTTTTAAAGGCACAAACAAGTGGAGGCCATATTAACAATTTAAAGGTGTCATTTTGGAAGGCACACACAATCAGAATGCTTAATTTGCTGGTAGCCATTTGAGAGGAAGGAAAATTGATACAATAATAAAAGGAAAAATCAGCATATATTTGCTTTTACATTGTTTTTTTTTGTTTGTTTTTTATTTTAGCTGAGCCATCCTGCCACCTGTTGGCAGCTCAGCATCAGCTCAGCTCAGGCCGGGCATCGAACTACTGTTGCTCAGAGCTCAAACTCTTGAGGGAGCTCTTAACCAACTGAGCCACTCGGCCGGCCCTGCTTTTACATTGTTTTTGACAAAAAGTCATTAGAATATGAATTTTTAAATCAATTTTGCCCTTTTTTTTCCCCCCAGTTTTCATAACTGAATCCCTGTTGTGTTTATAATATGGTATTTTTTGTTTCCATTAGGAATTGAATGCAATGAATTAGAAGACATTGCTGATAATACTAATGATTACTTTGTAACAAGTTATAATATGCATTTATCTTCTTATCACAATAAAATCTTACCTTGTTCATTTAAAAATTCAGTTACTATTTTGTCAAAATTAGGATACCTGCAGAACCTACCAGACTTAAAGCAGTTATTATTTTTTTTAAACAAGTGAAAATGAATTTCAAACTGGTAAGATCCCAGTAGGCCTGTGGCCTGGTTAATTGCCTTGTGTCCTGTCAGTTTGCTGGTTGTGATAATGCCCTGTCATTATGTAAGGTGTCCCCATTGGGGGAAGCTGGCGATGGGTACATGGGACCTCTCAGTACCACTTTCGGTTCTTCTTGTGAGTCTAAAATAGTTCCAAAATAAAAAGAGAAAAAAACAACATTTTCGTTTGGGGTCAGAATCGGGGGTACAATGTTTTTTTGAGTTTGTTTTGTTTGTTTTTATAAGGAAAAATAATATCTGTAAACTCAGGTTCAATATTTTGTTTTGGGGTTCTTATTGCAACAGGGGGTTGAGTTTTTGTAGAATTGATGTTAATGGGTTTGCTGGTTATTCACAAATGGCATGGGGACGTTCCTGCCTCTGTCTGCCTATGTCTTGAAGTCCTTTTTTGTACTGATCTCTCTTTTTTCCACCCATTTTTCAGGGCAATCTACAGATACACCACGTGGGACAGGATGGGCAGGTAAGTGCTCACCTGCCTTCACTTCATGTCTGTTTGCTGTGGTGGATAACTAGACGTGGCATTGCCACAGGGAGGGAACAGGAAGCAAGAGGGTGGCACAGTGCTAGCTGGGGAAATGCTAGCTTTATTCCTGGTGGCCAAGGACATCCTGAAAGACGTGGACTGCAGAGCTCTGGGCTACCTCGGCTTCTTTGTGGGGTTTCAGGTAGCTCTTTGCCTTCCAGGTGAAACACACCCATTTGTTTATCACTGTTTCTTTAAGTTGACATGAATGTTGTCAATAACCATGTTTGTACAGTAGCTGTACTCACATATCAGAATTAAGGTAGGTTTTGTTCATGGATATTGCTGTCAAACTCCAGCCACTGCTTCTTTTCTAATCTCAGACAACAAGTAACTGAAACAGTCATTGAACACACTCGATAGGAGTTGTCTTTACAAAGTGAAGTGTGCCAACCATGAGGGTTTCTAGGGAGTGATTTGCTTTCTAAGACCAAGTGAAATTGCTGGTGAATTCGAGGATTAAAATTTACATGTCATTTTGTTGAGTTTCCATTACAGTTTCATTTGTAACCTCTGAATAATTATGAAAGAGAGTCTGGATAATCTTCCTTTTTTATAACACATAACTTAGCCATAAATAGAGCCCATTTACTGTCAAGGTAATAATACTTGCTATTCTCAAAACCAAGTACACACTCCCTTTGAAGCTCCTGTGTGTATTCCTGTTGTCATCAGCGAGGGACTGATGTCTGCCATGAATGGGTTGTGGAGAATGTGTACCGCTGGCCTGGGAAGCGAAAGGATAGTTATACCCCTTGAATTTTCTGTTGAACCCTCAGGGCGCCTTGGGAGAATTGCGACAGACCTTAAAGCATTTGTTTAAATTGGAATTTCTTAGTTTGAAAGTTTCATCTTGAAAATACACATGAGGTTTTAATCAGAGTCCTGAAGCAATATTAATATATAAATATAACATAACTGCCTTGGAAGAGCCAAAAAGCCAAAGAAATGCAAAATTTTAAAAACCCACAGTTGTTTCTTTGAGCTGTCTTGGTAATAAAGCCATTGGCCAGACCCAGTAGAAATCAGTTCTCAGCAGCTTTTCTCTGATATTTCTCTCAGTCAGACTAGAGATGTCCCAGCTGGGGCAGGAGAGGACTGGTCACCAGCAGTAGTTTATCTCTTTGTGCTTGACAATTAATGGTTTGTAATTGTACTGGGAGTGAAATTTTATCCTAATTAAAATGTTGCTTAACTTTAATTCATGAGAAAAGCACGTCTTTTCCCTTTGATTTTCCTGTTGTTTCTGTTCCTATTCCTGAGCAAAATTCCACTAGGGACTTTGAAATATAGTCAGGGTTTTATTTTGTGTCGCTATGTATGGTTGTAGACAACACCATCCCCAAGAAATCATGAAAGCAAAGAACCCAGGTTTTGTGGACAGGTCCGGTAGGCACATGAGCTCCAGCCACAGTTTTCAACTCAGGGAGGGACTCCTGGAGTTTACATCGGAAGAGCCACCTTCTGAAAATTCCCCAAACTAGAGCGTTCTCTGCGCTCGCCCCTTCTTCACTCTCACCAAGTGCTGCTGCCTTGCTTGCATTCGTGCTCGTGCCTCATCGGCCTGTTCTATGCGCACGGCCGTGATTTACCGCTGATTTATGTCCGTTCAGGTGCGTCTTCCTCCAAGTTCCCACTGACTCTTTCTCTTAGCAACCTCGCCACAAAATAAATAGAGCTACTGCACCGTTCACGTTCTGTGTTACATAAATAATAATTTATTAGACATCTGTAAAATCTCATGCTGCCTTCCCACCTCTACCTGATTCTCATCATGGGTCACGTTTGTGGGATCTTCAGTTAAGAACAGAACTTAAAGGCAGGACTAACACCGATGGTGGCTAGAGGAATTTTAGTATTTGGTACCTTGTTCTTTTCTAAAGGAAATTGCTTTCTGACTTAAATAAACAGTATGTGTTCATAGGAGGCCACCTTTTTCTGTTAAATCTGTTTTTAGCTAATCCTTTCTTGTTTTCCATTTGTTGGGAATTGTTTTTTTGTATTTTATCATCTCTCTAGTCCTTGTTCCTGTTAAGTTTACCCTGCTCTTTACAAGCCTTGTTTTCTAAATTGACAAAGTACTTGTGAAACAGAATAATGTTTTGCTAGACACAGAACACCCCACTCGACTCGATGTCACTGATAGGGCTGACTAAGAAACACCGCAGTGCTTGAGGCAGGAGCGCCTGTCGCCCTGTCTCTCCCCTCCTCCCCCACCACCTCAGCCTCTGTCTCTCCATCTCCCCGCCCTTCCCTCTCCCTCCCTTCCTCCTTCCTCTCTTTCTCATGCCCATGAGAGGACAGTCCCTGTGGGTCTAGGGCTCTTTCCCCTTCACCCACATGCAGCCCCAGAATCTCCCCTCGCGCGATGCTCAGACAGCAGCTCCCCAGTTGCCAGTCCTGGTGTACATGTTGGTGTTTGATTTACTGAAGACTGACAACACCAGGCTCACCGCAGCTTTATTGGGGGAGAGGTGATGAATGGCTGCCTCAACTCTGGGGAACATAAAATCCTCCAGAATTATGGAAGCCCACAAAGAAATTTATTATTGGCGTAATTTTAAAATTATGTAAAAATTACATAATATACCCGTTTGCAAAATTATGTTATCTTTTCGAGTTCATAGACCCACTAACCATCTCATTAGCTTCACGTTAAATTCTTACTCAATAGGTGTAAGTGTCGTTTAAGGCTGACTATGCGGTGACACTTGGAACCCTTACAGAGCAGCTAGCCATCACCTATGGGCTGATGACCGAGGACACTCCCTTCTTGATGCCGGGGGTTGTCAAGCCTCTTCCCACATCTGTTCCTGTGTTAGGGTCATGTTTATCCTGGGATTTCCCTTTTCTGCTTCTGAGATGCGTGTTGCTAATCTCGCTTGTATTGGCTGAGTGTTTCCTCAGTCAGTGCACAGGTTCTGTGAAAGCACCTCTCCCTTTGTTACCAGGCAGGAGAGGGGAAGGAAGCGTGTGCTGTGCTCATCACGGACTGCAGCTGCCGGTGGTGGGATTTGTAAGGTCAAGCCTGCAGCAAGCTTCATTTCCAACAGGGAGATCTGATGTCTTCCTGTCATGTGGAGTTTATTATACTACATTGAAATAATCCTGTAATGTGGTTCTGACAGTGGGCCATACTTTCTGAATCATATATTTTCTTCAAATGAAATATCAAGAGATCCTAGTCCCATCCCATGCGGGGATGTGTCAGCTGGCAGGTCTGCTGTGGGTTCCGATGAGAGTGTGAGCGTGCCTGGTACTTTATAGCAGTGCCCAGTGCTTCTCAAACGTGGGAAGGAAGGATCTGGAAAGAAACAACTTGCAGACCCGCAGAGAACTGGAGATTTAGTTGGGATCTGCATTCAGGAGATGGTGAGCGCCTAGGCATGAGGCAGCCCTGAACCATGTGGTGCATTCACATGTTTCTTTTCCTTCCATTTTCGGCCATGCACATCTTCATGTAGTGATCCTTCCTCGTCCTTCATCTAACCTGTTTTTTGCAGGGAAGCCAGGTGGCCAGATTTGTTAGGGCTGAAATTAAGATGCTGTCTGTCACTAATTCTGGTCATGGGCCCTGGAGACAGATGCATGGGCCTGAGGCTGGTCCTTCAGCTGTTCACGTGCGTTTCTGGCTTTGTCCCAGGTGGTTCTTGTTGTTGAATGTCACGTTATTAAACAAATTCAAACTATGCTGATTTCTCTTATCCCTAGTCTGACCATAGGTACTATTGGAGTGTAGGAGATTTCCTAATACTAACTACTACTGCTACATGCCACTGTCTCCTTTTTCACTCAGTGAGTATTTTTAAATTCATCACTTACTGTGTGTCTTCACATTCTCCTTGCAAGGAAGGTTAGGGAGAGAAGGAGCCCTCTCCCAGAGGCTCGGTTGCCGCTGCTCTGTTCTGGGAGGCCCTGCTGGGCGCAGCCTGGGATGTTGAGCCAGCCTCTGCCAGCAACAGAGAGGCCTTTCTCTGTGGGGCCCTGGATCTCCCGCTTATTCTCTGTCAGAGAAAGTTAGGGTTGTGGGGTCCTGCTACCCCCAGTAGGTCAGCGGTGAGAGGTGAAGCACCTGTTCAGGGCTCTCGCCCCGCTTGCCACGCCTGCATCTGTGCACTCCCATGGTGCCGCCTCCTAACACCCTTGCTCTGGCCACGAAGTTAGGCCCAGCGTTGGGTGGGATATGGTTTGGAAGAGAACTGGGTGGGTGGGAGGGTTGTAACTGGGATCTAAGCCTCGCCTCAGTGCTGCCACTCCATGAGTGCGTCGGCTTGGGGCAAAGACTTTACTTCTTCCTGCCTGGGTTTCCTTGTCACTGAAATGGGACGTGCTTCAGGAAGCTGTGCCTTCACGAAGAGCAGAAGGCTGCCCAGTGACCAGCCTGGCATCTGGTTGGCACTTTATTGTCCACACAACCACCCCTCTGGGAGACTGGGTGCATTTGTGTAAACCCACAGGAACTGCCCATGTAGGCAGGGCATGAGAGTGATGAATAGACTCTGAAGGGAGAAGATGTTACTTTCCACACTGAAAGTAAGATCTGTTCTGTTCTTGAGAGATGTCCCTGGACTGTGACCCTTAGGAAGTCTTGATGTAGAGTCTGGCAGAGAACATCCCTTTAGTTTTATCATGCGCGCGCACGTGTGGATGTGTGTGTGTAAGAGAGAGAGAGAGATTGATTGATTGACTTTTGGAGACGTTATTTAGAAAGCTATATACTTAAAGCATTAATTAGAAAATGTTCCCTTTCTTGTTAAAATTATAGCCATGAATGAACCTTTCAAAGAAAGCAGATCATCTGAGCCTCATCACTGTGAAACAATTCAGATTAGAACTCAGCTTTCTAAAATGAATTCAAATTATTTGTTAAATGCCAAACGTAATATAAACATGTTTTAGTAATGTTAGGGAACTATTAACAAGTGGAATCTTGGATG